CTCTTTTTATATAAATAAGGTTTTATATCTTTATATATAATAAGGTTTTATTCCTCAAATTAATGTGGGTGAAAACAGGGCTTTATACCTAGTCCAGCCATAAGTTCACAACCATAAGAAAACACCACTGCTTGTTTTAAGAGACTCATCATCACCGTGTCGTTTAGAGCAGGCCATGTCCTCTAAAATTTACCATAATTTATTTGAAGTCTAAAGGATTCAGGTCTGGGCTAAATGAGGGCCAGTCTTCAACTCTTATAAAGTTCGGCGCAAAATCGGAAGAAGTTTTTAAAATAATATACGTGTTCCAAGTTCAAAATAATTAAAAAGTTGAAAAAAAGAAAAGATTTTATGTAACAGTATTTATGGCCAGACAAGTTATAAGCAAAGAAAAGTCTTTGTTAAATGACCGCTGGTTCGGTTTTCATTAAACTACCTAATCATTGAATGAATACGATTAACAAAAAAACTAACTAGCAGCCAGTGATTTCGGATGCAATCAATCATTGATATATTCAAGTTTAACGCCTGGTCCTAAATGACAGATTTCTGCCAACGTCGAAAAAACCCCTGTCTGTGAAGATGGCAGATTTCTGCCACGAGTTAAGAAAATTATTTTCAGGTTTCGTATTTTGCTTTTTATCATATTTTGTTATGATTTTTAATAATAATTAGAACTGCATTCACAGGTTTTTTTAAATCGCCTCGTGAAATTTCGAAAAAAAAACGACATATTTTAAGATAACCATGGAAAGGGTTACTCATAAGTATTATTTTTTGCTAAATAACGTAGCATTTTAAATGAAAGAAAAGTAATTTAATTTAACATTTTATTTAACACAAACTAATATAAAATCGGATACGCCTCTGAGTAAGTTAAAATGTTGAGTTCATCATCGTTGACGTTTATCATTCGCTGCTGTAGTTTCTGTAAGCGCATATCAAAATGTCCTAAATTTCTTAAAGTATCCGCTAACCTTTGAAACACATATCGAGAAGGTACGTCTCTATCCAGGTATCTTTGCGGTACCACCGCAAAGCTGATATGTCTTTGTGGTTTATAAAGTAACCTTCCATTAAATCCATTTTATTTTGATACGCCATTGTAAGTAAATTAACAAAAAAATTGCAAATAAAATTGCAGACGCTTGAAAATTTATGTGTTCCATTTTCGAATTTTTATTTTTATAAATTTCATCCAATCGCATTGTAACTGTGAGTTCAGAAAGAAATGCATACGTACGAGTACTACAGTTTGAATATCACTTTATTATTTTTATCACGTAATAAGACATTCCTGTCATTTAAAATGCTATGTTATTTAGCAAAAAATAATCCTTATGATTAACCCTTTCCATGGTTATCATAAAACACACTGTTATCATAAAACAATATGCTGTGTTTATTTTTTCAAAATTTCACGTGTTTGATTCCCAGTTGAAGCAAGCGATTTTAAAAAAATCTGTGAATGCAGTTCTCCTTATTATTAAAAATAAAATGATGTCTTGTTTCAGTAAAATATCCTATCTTCAATATTTAATATACTTACTTTCCCTCCGTGTGGGGTAGCCGTGGGACGCCCTGTATAGATAAGTTTGTAGATAAACTAATCAGAATTGACTTAAGACATAATAATAAAGCCTGGATGTAAAGAAGAAATCGAATAATAAGAGGAAAATCTGCGGGAAAATTAAAAAAAACCGGTCGTGAAAAACAAAATGTAGGGCTAACATAGACAGGGTTTTGAACGTCATATTGCTCATACATTTGAGGGGATAAGTGATTAACATAAAAAACTAAAGATAGTGATACCAATGACCGACCAGAACCAATTGATCACTAAATATGGTAACACCAAACGTCTATCGCTCGGTGTATCGGCCATTTAATGATCGATTACCTACACTTATTTTCATTGATCACAAAATAAATATGTAGATCATTTCTTTCATGTCGGTCATTGGTGAGGCTATTTTAAGGTGCTGTCCGACGGCCTGTGTTGTCGCGGGAGCGGCCGCGCGCAGGGTTGCCAAACGTATGAGAACTCTAACGCTTGAGATTTAGCAGTATCTATACATGATACGAGGTAAATAGAAATCTCGTACACTTTGATATGAGATTTGAACAATGTTAACTGTCATGTACACAAATCAAAAATATTATCAGAAACTAAATAAATATCCAGTCCACAAAGGATCGACTCAGTAAGTACAGCTTCATTATGCCATCACAAAGTGTACGAGACTTCTATTTACCTCGTATCATGTATAGAGACTGCTAAATCACAAACATTAGAGTTCTCATACGTTTGAGAACCCTGCGTGGCGCGACCGCGACCGTAACAACACAGGCCGTCGGAAAGCACCTTTACAATGACTTTCTATGTACAGAAAGTCATTATATCCTAATATCTATGTATTGAAGTTATTATTACAGCACTATAACAAAAATCATGTTACTTGTACTACTATCTAAATCTAATAGGGTACTTACATCGCACTAAAAGTAAATTATCTTTGTGGACAGCTGCAACAATACACGTTCGTTCATTTCTAAAGCTATTTAGAGAAGCTTTGCGCTTTCTACATCTGTTGGGCCAAAAGCCACAGGATTATAGAGATAATTGTTTTGTTATATCGTATGTGACTTGTATTAAGGATGAAACGTCGTAGTTTCATCATTTAACAGCAATATAAAAAAAAAATATAATTTAAAATATCGGCATATTAATCATATACATCATCTATATATATATATATATATTATAAGCAGATAACTCAATAAAAAGTGTTTTTATTTTTGCAGTGAACCATATAGCATACTTACTAGACTGATAGTGAAAAATATATATCGAATGCATTAGCTGCTCAGTTTTCCGTGCACATTATAATTGCCAGACAGACATTGTATTCATCATCAGTGGCCTGTTAATGTCCCCACTGCTGGGGAATATGCCTTCTTTGTAGATAATAAATAAATAAACAATTAATTATGTATGAGGAGCTCAATGGTGCAAGTGGTTAGCGCGTTTGGCTTCGATAGTTGAAGCTAAGCAACTTTCGTAGTGGTCGGTCATTGCATAGATGACCAAAAATTTACTATCTCGAGCTCCTCCGTGCTTAGAAAAGCACGTTAAGCAGTTGGTCCCGGCTGCATCTGCGGTCGTTAGCACGTGCGGATGGGTCCCCATTTCATCCGTAGGGAAGGCCTGTGCCCCAGCAGTGGGTTCATTAATAGGCAGATGATGATGAAACAATAAATTCTCGGTCACCCCATTCTTTGACCGATCATTGCGAAAGTTACTTAACTTTCTCAATCGCAGACCAAAAAGACACACCACTACCGCAACAGAAACTACAATTTTGTTTATTTGATAGTACGGTTAGTATGCGGCATACGTAATGGTTGGGTGTGAAATAAAAAGTAAGAACGTGAGAATGAGAAAACTCGCCTTCCCAAGTTCTAAATATTACAGAACAACTCATACATTGCTCAAATTCCTAGTTAGGCAAGTAAACCTCAAACACGGGTATCTTCATTTGGATCTATTTAAGTACGGCGGTGATATTTGTAAAACTATGCTGTTGTAACAATATAACTGAATTGACACTGACTTATTAAAAAGACAAATCAAGGTGGAAAGGTCACATACATAGAAGTACCCTGTGAATATATGCTCAGAAAAAGAAGATATTTCAGATTGAATTTTGGCAAATTACAACAATGTAATATATGGATTTCCGGATCCTGAGGAGCTCGTTGGTTAGCATGTTTCGCATGCGATTGTGGAATAGATAGAAGAATGAAAGAAAGTTTTGACCTTTAACTCCCTCGAAAAAATAAACGACGGGTTGCACTCCGGGAGTGCCGGCAGAAGTGAAAACTTCAATATTAACGTTGTGCATTTTTGATAATTTGGAATGGTTAGGGAATAATTTTGCACGAATTGCTTTAATCATCAGTATAAAAGTACTATCATGTATGTTGTAGAATACAATATTAATTTATTGCGCTATCGTACACAAACATGACAATTTATATTACATTAAAAAAGTTTATCTCTCATAAAAATCAACTTACATGAATCATGTTTAAGCGCACTTAGCGATATCTATTGTAAAGAAATCAACTTACATGAATCACATTTAAGCGCACCTAGCAACATCTATTGTAAAAAAAATGCATTTTCTTCGCAATAAAGCTGCCATGTGGACGTCCTAGATAAGGTCTTATTATTATAATACGATAAAATAAAATATTACTATGTTTCGTCCAATATATTGAAAGTCAACAACCTTTCCAATTTTATTGTGTGTCATAATGCGATCAGCCCACGTGTTTAACCTGACGCGAATTTAACATTTTAACCCATACAAAAAAAGTGTACAACGCCGCTAAAGAAGTTTTTAGTTCAAAAATTATCGTAGTTGTGCTACACTTCGAATTCATTCACTTCTATCGTAAAATCAAGGATCTCAAATAAAATTTATTTACACAACAATACTTACCTTAGTAAGTACTTGTTATATCCAGTCCACAACTGGCGTAACCAGTAAGTCTAATTGTACTTGACACAGTTCGACCTCTATCCGTTGACTTCGATACAAAGGACCAAAATCAAGCAAAACAACGTTAAAATCTTACCCAAAAGCCAAATAGAATTTATCGACAGCCAAACAAGTTTAACAAAATTAACAACACCTTTAACTTTGATAACAAAACAATGGAACTTATTCATTTATTCTAACCGACAAATTCAAAATTGATTTCCTAAAGAACATAATCGCTTAATAACAAATAGACGAAAGCCTTGGTTCCTCTTAATTAAAATATGCTCGTCCAGTCATTGTCTTACTCCGTAAACGTGCGTAAAAGAAAAAGTCGGCGACATTAATGAGAAATTGCGAGTGCACAGCCCTGAGACGGTCTGACATTTAATTTAGAAACGTCGCTAAAACATTTCACTCCACTAGGATTACTTCCTGCTTGGTCCATTAATCAGGGACGCCGCGCTTCTCCATGAAGGACCCCCGACACCACTTATTTCGGGGTCCAACGGCTTTGGAATTTCATTCAGGACTCATCACTCAAATATGGATGGGTCCTACGCAGAACGGAGGTTACTCAGCGTTTTCTCGATTATCGACGATCAGGGAAAGCGGTATGGTGATCTAGTTGTTGAAGCTTACTTTACTGAAAACTTATATAATATGTTATAAGTAGTGGGTTTCAATTCTGACAAAAAAATATGTTTCGCTTACCAACAAACAATACTAAATCCTTTTGACAAACTACCACAGATTTTATAATGATTGACCCATAGATAAATGATTGGTCTCGAAGCGAGACCAATCATTCATCTATGGATTGGCATTATAAGCGGAATTCTTTATTTGTATTATATATTCATTATCAGTTTTCTATTAAATATGCTCTGCTAAAATACAATTTTCATCTATGCAATAGTTATGTTTTACTAATTATGTCGATAACCAACAAAACATCAAGTAAGAAAAAGTGTTTAAAAACACCTATTCTATAATGACTTCAGTTCATATAAACAAACTTTGTTTTTTTTTAAATATGCCATTTGTAAAACTCAAAAGTCTACTAAAGATTGCAGAATTGCCATCGAAGATTAATAAAAAGCAGCGCAGTGTTGCCAACTCGGATTTTGAAAAAGGCGTAGGCCCGATGAGAAAATTACGTAGAATTGGTAAATTTTGCATATGAAAAGTAAGTAGATCTACGTACTTTTTTCTGAGTGAAATGAAGAAGTTATTTGAAACCGAATAAAACGAGTATTTTGTTATACAATTTGTTTAAGAACGGGAGATAGAACGAAGAGTTCTTGGAGAAGTCGCTGCATTGGAAGCATTTACCATGCTGTGGTAAACATTTACCATCAGACACAGACACTGGTGGGTGCCGATTCTGGATGGTTCTCTAAATTTAAAACTTAATTTAACATCAGTCTCTCCTTTTCATTCTGTATAGAGAATGACAAGGATAAACTGTTGTTAAATGGGCTAGTTGACACTTTTTGGAATTATGTTTTAAATTGTTAATAATTATTCTATCAGAAGAAAAACAATTTTTTTTTTACCTAGAAGACATACAAAAACGCTCTTTAGTCTATAGACTTATCTATGCTATGGCGCCAAAACATTTGTAAACAAACACTCGCAAGCACGTAGGAAATAAACTTTCTAAGTTAATATTATAAAACCATGATTTCTAATAGATCACATGAAAAATATAGTAGTTATCATGATACACTTGGTAAAAGACTCTAGAAAAGTTATGGTTTAAATTGCCAAGAGAAAAAACATACTTACACATGAACATATGCTTAAAACTTGCTAAATCCTGTAACTTTATCGACTGAAAGTCTTTTCTTTTTGCAAAGATCAATTCGATGTGAGTAGGTACTCATTGATAATAGTAAAAGTTTAAAAATACAATTTTTAAGGTTATGAATGTACCTAATAAGTCAAAGAGTTTTGTCGTTTCTGCTTTCACAAATCCTGCGTCCAGCATTAATTTAGTCAACAAAACCAGTAACAGGAACCTTTTCTACAAGATGCAAGAGTGTTTAGATACATCTTCTTAAATATTCAATATAAAATATTCTTCTTTATTCTAGTGAATTAAGTTATTTTACAAATTTGAAAAAAATTAAGAAAATACGTAGATTCTGGGACTTAAGTTAGTAGGTTTCCAGAAAAGGCCTAAAATACGTAGATCTACGTAAAAAGAAGTAGAATTGGCAACACTGAAGCAGCGTGCTGTTAAGGCGCGCATGAAGGAAATGAGACGGGAGTCTAAATGGGATGAACTAAACTACTTGAAGAGATTTCGCTATCACACCAAGCTTATTGGAAGCTGGGGTGATCCTTCAAGTCAGAGGTTGCGTTTAACAACGACTGTCTGGCATACAGCCTGGAGGCGCAGTGCTCGCCTAGCCACATCACACATCCAAATAAAGTCCTCCTCCATACAAAAACATAAAATGTCCTATAGGTATCGATTTCGTAAATACTAAAACCATTATCTTTGTTATTACGAAATTAATAATAAAATGCAATATACTTAAATTACAGTAATAAATAATAGTATACAGGTACTACGGTCTAACATACATAACATTTTTAATTAGTCGGGATCATACTTTTGCTATATTAAAGCGTTATCTTTCGTTGTTTTGTAATACGCTTATTAAAAAAGACTTGGTACTATTGTGTCACAAAATGTGACTCTTCTTTACAAGGAGCTTCTGTAATTCTTTTGTTACTAACATTTTGTGGACTGTACATTATTGTCTAATAATATTATTATTATATATTATTTAATATCGATTCCATTACTTTCTTCGATTACTTTGAGCTTGTTACGGGAAACCCATAGCACGCTATGGTGTCGTGTTGACTTGGATAGTCAATGATTGATTCACATAAAGCTGCGTACGGATTGCGCGTTCTTTTGCTACGCGTATTGGGACATGCTGTCCACGCGTACATTGGTTACGCGTAAAGTTCCAGTACAGACCGCCGCGTACCTGAATTCAAGGCCGTGCGATCCATAGCACTTAAACCGTGAGCCCCGTCAGTTGTTATTGTTCACTACTAGCTGACCAGGCGAACTTCGTATCGCTTAGTTAGGTTATAGTTACGTTTAGCTTAATTTAGGATTTTAATAACGAAATAAAAAATCCAATATGTTAATAAGATACTCTTAATAAATAAAATGAATCGCCGAAAAGTATTTACGCGCATCGCTTCCGAAAAACTGAACAAAATAGTGCGTGATATAGCGTTTCAGGCGCAATCCACTAGGCGTGCAATGGAACGCGCTATCCGTAGGCAGCTACGGACTTTTTACGAGCTGACACTGCAGTGAGAAAAAATAGCAGCCATCTTATCGTAAGTACGAGGACACTTATTGATAGGAAATGAATTGACTCTGATTATCTGAATATATTGAGTAGTTCCTCGGCACAGTGATAAGCGCCTTCAGTCTGCGATAGTGGCAGTTAAAACTGCCACACCAACTATCTTCGTTAGCCTTCAAATTTCTAGTGCGCGATGTAGGCTTCCATGCTTATTGAGTGCAGCAACAGTAACTTTTAACTTTGATTTGTTGGTGTGTGCTCATAAAGTAAAGCACACACCAACTCAAAAAAAAAAACTAAAATAAAGATTGAAACGCAAGCTTTTTTGTCTGTAATGTATTCAGACACTTTATAATACGCTTTCCTAAGAAGTGAATTTTAATTAAAGATTTAAAATTAAAAGCTTCTTTGCCTCTTTTAAAACAACAAAAAAAATCTCAAAGTAACTGGAAATCAACATTCTGCTTCTGCTGAAGGGACTTCGCGTGGGTGGTTTATAATTACGCCCGGTAAAGCCGTGGACTTTGCTCCGAGTAGCGTGTCGTGCCTTATCAGAAAAGCTTTCAATTTGCATTCATGACATCACTTAGTATTTCTTAGGAAACGGCACACCATCTAAGGTGCATCATTAGGTTGTAGAAAATTAATTACAATTATTAATCAATCGTGTTTGGAATTTACCAAAGGAATGCAACGAGTATAATATTTGAACTTTTAGGTAATTCTTGATGTTTCGAAAAAAAATTTTCTATGCTAACTAGATTTAAATATTTCAGTTAAAATTGAAGCAGCCGCTTTGGAGAATATCCTTCCTTTCACACAGTATTCTGTAGTTTTGTATTCTTATAGAAATAGAGATAGAAAGAATTTGTTTATTTGCACAAAATAACAGTAGATGCAATGCAGATACAAATATCGGAGCATTGGTGCATAAGAAGAATGCATAACCGAATATACAGAGATTCCCAAACTAGGCTAAGCCTGTATATTGAAGAAACTAAAATATTCCATTCGTATAAGACTTGATTATTTTCACCTATTTATGGGAAAGAGCTAATCTCTTACTCTCTACTCTACTTAATTAAACTTTGAAGGTGATAAACAATAATCACAGTGCACTTTGACATTGACATCCAATCAAAGTCGTCTTGGACTGCGTTCAACTTTTCAAGCCAACTTTGATGTGGAACAATGAAACAAAATGGTGTCTAATTTAAAAACGGCCAAGTATGAATCGCACTCTCGCACGCCGGGTTATCTATACAACATTAGACACTATATTATAATAATGAGAAAAAAACGATAAAAAAACAAGTCTGTTGTATGTAGGGTTACTATTTAAATATTTGAAAAGTCCTGACAAAAAGCCGGACATTTCAGTCCTGAAATGCAAACATCACACACGTTACAGTGATATTATATGCGAGGTAGCAGACGCTCACATCGCGAGGGGGGTGTGGTCTCGTTTTTCATTTTTCAAGATGGTTTATATTTTGTTTTAAATTAATAACAACTTAATAAAGATTATTTGATATAACTTAATAAGTAATTTTACTCATATTCCATCTAATTAAAAAAATCCGGATTAATATAAGAGCCGGACAAGAGGCAAAGAGTCCAAAAAGGCGGACAAATCCGGACAGATGACCGGTAACCCTAGTTATATGGGAGCTACCCTTAAATATTTATTTAACAAAAACGATGACAAAGCTACTTTGTTAAAGCACACTTTTAGCATGTCAACGCAGCTTAAAGTCATAGCCCTCTAGTTTGAATTTGGCACAAATCGAAATTAATGTCGATCTGTTAACAAAATAGTTATCCTATTGGGGTTAAGCCTCAACATTTGCCTAAAAATGTACCACCGTTGTTTTTCCTACTTACTACAACACGTTGGTATTGCATTAAATCATGGATACAGCTGTGTTTGTACACATAAATCTGTCAAAATCATTTAACATTCTGTGAAAAGGATTAGTGCATTTGTTTTATCCGTCACGTTTTAATCCATTGGATTAATTAGATGCGTTATTGTTTGCGGAGAACACGAGTGTAAAAGGAAACTTAACGGTAGGGTGAGCAAAGGAGGCCTTATCGACGAAAGCTTTTCTAAATACCCTTTGAAGAAATGGCAGAAGGTTGGAATGGATATTGTGGATGCAGATAATCGCTTGATTAACAAAAATACATTATTAAGGGCGCAGCAGGATTGCTCATGTCGCAACCTCAGAACGAAAGTGGCTTTATTCAAATAATTGTTAAATCATTTTTATAGAATAAATGCAGCTACTTATAAAAATAAAAAATAAAGTAAAGAGGCACTCAAAACTACACTAAATATTAGGTATTTCTAAATGTTTCCAGTTCATTAAATGCAGAAGTTTTCTGTCTGATATAGGTATATTTTGAAACATAGAATCATAATAAGGCATGGCTGACTACTCATTTATATAGACCAATCATTTATCAACGAGGAGCTCGATGGTGCAAGTGGTAATCGCATTCGGCTACGATCGTTGAAGTTGAGCAACTTTCTCAGTGGTCGGTCATTGGATGGGTAACCAAGAATTACTATTTTGAGCTTGTCCGTACTTCTTAAGGCACGTTAATCCGTTGGTCCCGGCTGCACCTGCAGTCTAGCACGCACCAATCCACACTGGGCCCACGTGGTGGGTATAGCCATAGTCCAATCTCCGTATTCTATCCACACCCCACTGCTGAGGCACAGGCATGATAAATCATTTATCTAAAACTGACTATCACAAAGTAATCACTTAAAGCATTAAAGATGTTAGTTTAATACAGTCGAGACCACGTTACTGAAAGCAAATTTTGACATTGGCAGCGCCTTTAACAGCAAATAAGAGCTAATTGCAGTACAAGCTTCGCTCATCGACTATATAGACTATGCGAACTTGAAACAGAACTAAGATTTAACGCTGTTTGATTGACACTTTAAATCATCATCAGTCACCTGTCATAGCGTTAATTATAATTTGTCATTCGCAGCGGACGAGAACGGGTCCATAACGGAGACGATACCCGACCGACCGGTGGAAATCAAGAACTTCCCGAAGCTGTGCGAGCAACGCCGCAAGTTTCCGGTGCTATACAAACTAGAGTTCCAGGTGAGTTACAAATATTGCAAATACTGGTGTTAGTTGATTTGCGTGTTTTTGTTTTTGTGCGGGTGTCAAAGTCGTCTGTGTCCGCCAAAGGATATCCAACAAATCTCATGCAAAATGGCCCCACCGCCGGCGCAAAAAAACTGTAACCCAGATTTTAGTGTAAAATATTTGAAAACACCTGCCTCCTTATTAATAAACGAAGAATAAGCTTGGATTAGTTACTCCATGTCTTGTCTCTGTTCATTTTAATCTCAAATGACATTTAAGTGATATAAACAAAACACTGTGTAATTAGCCTTGTGTAATTAGTCTTAGCGTACTCCTTGTTTATTTATGGGTTAGGGGCTGAAGTTTCGTTATGGCTAAATTCGGATGTGAATGAGTTGCACTTACTTGCTTTTTATTAATTAACTATATTAGTCGATAATAAGCTATGCACAGGAAGCGTCGGTTGAACAGTAAGTATTTTTTCTTAACTTTTTTTTAACATCTAGCGCCTATAAAACTTCTTCTGGCAAAAAAACTATGTTAGCATCCCAATTTAGCAAAAGCGAAACTTCAGGGTTTTTTTAATATATTTTCTCTAAAATTTGAGTTACATTACTTTAGCACCAAAGCTGAGACCATTTTGGCGGGCACCTTGTAACATAGAACTTAATATTATTATGCACATCAGTGGATGGCATATACTTCATTTCGCAGAAAATCATTTGGCATTCACTTATTTAGCAGACATACAAATGCATAACTTTGTAAGCTAAGATCAACTTTAGGCATAAAGTTAATATCCACAAAAATTAAAAATCAGAACCAACATATTGCAGAAAAATCACAGTCAGAGTCGTCTTTTGGCATACAATTTTTTTTTCTTGTTTATTTATCTATTATCTTTAGTGACTGGCGCTTCATTCGCTCGGCTTGCGCTAAGATTAGGTCACAACACTAAACTAACCTAACCCACTCACTACAAATACTGTTTATGCTTAGCGAAATTATGCTGGGTAATTTTTTTCCAAAGATAATTGCTATTGTGTATACGGACATATAAACATGCGGCGTATTAATAATCATATTCAATAACAATATGCCTTACAAATATTCGCTTGAAGATAATGTCAAGTGTGTTATGCCAAATGAATTTCGAAGCAACAAGATTCTACCAGATAGAGAGAACCCTTTTGGCGGATCTCCTTTTAAACACAGTAAAAACAGTAAACCACGGAATATTGATATTTGGCTGCACTTTAAAAATGGGATATACCTCTGATAAATCAGTCCTGCCTACGAACCATGATGGGGAAGACCAAAAGAAAACAAATCAAATACCTACAAACCTGTGGGTATGGAAATAGGTAGTTAATTTATTACGGGAATCAAGTTGTAAAGAAAGTTGTTATTTCACGAACCGCAAATTAGATTATAATTAATCGTATTTTTTATGTATGATGTACCTAACAACTTTGCGCTTTCAAATTTGGCACTAGGCATAGTGCTACATGGCATTACTTGTTCCTAATTGTCATGATTCTTTGTCAACGGAAACTACATATAGGTATGTGTGATTCTCTAGAGATTGTTAAACTATACAATATAAACGTGGCATAATTGGCCGTACTTTTTGAATGTGTTGATATAGATTTTTAATTTCTTCTCTACTTAACGTACGGAAGCTCACAAACATGTATTAAAACGTGTTAAACAAGTAAGATGTACCGCTCGTTCGCTCTCTGACTTGAAACCAAACTCTTACCCCCGTAGAACCCTGCACCTAACAGAGGCATGCTCAACCAGTGATTTGCAAACAAATATCACGAAATGTTCGTTTGCAATCCACTCGAAAGAGGAACATTTACTTTGATAGAGGCGCAATAATGTAGTAAGTATACACGCGCAGTGCACACCGGGAGAGGCGCGGCGATGATACTAAGCGTGGTGACTTCGAGCGCAGCTAAGAGCCACGGAGCGGACCGCGGTGACTTTAAAATTAAATTCTTAGATTAAAACAAAAAAGGAAGATACGGCACCCGCGGTTTAAAAGTGATCCGCTTAAATTGTGGTACATGACCACAATTCGCTTTAGTCACAATTGGACATTCAAACGCTGCATGTGCACTCAAAATAACAATATTGCGTATATTCTGTGTTATAAAGATAAAACGATGTCTTCGATGCTTTTATGAATAACACAAATAAATCAAGATCAAATAACAATTTTCACGGCAACACTTATCATTCATTAAAATACGAAAACATATTTTTTCTCAAAAATCACAGTTTGTCATGAATTTTATTTACTTTTTCGCCATTTCTTATCAAGAAAAGGTCAACAAAACAGCTCTGCCGTTTGTAAAGAGAGAAAAGAAAACGCAGTCGCCAAACCAAGCGACGCGGAATCGCCGTTTCGCTCGCGCTGAATACAGAAGTATGCATGCGTGAGAGTTGATTATGTAGTTGAGTACGCTACGGCACGCACATACTAGCATCAAATAAAATATGCTCCGATATTTTATTTGATGCTAGTATGAGCGTACCGTATCTTCCCTTTTTGTAATCGAAGATTAAAATAAATATAACTACTTCTAACATATATAGACCAATTAGCGTAGCCCCAAAGTAGGCACCGTAGGGCTTGTAACGGGATACTAGGGTAACGGATAGAATACATATATTGATACATATTTAAGTATAATTTTATTTTAGAAATACATGTAAACAACCGTGAATTAGGGTCAAATGCTCGTATTAATCACACAAACATTCCAACCCTGAGTAGGTGACAGTTGCGCATCCGCTCTCGAGGCCGCCGCTTCGCAGCACTGTGCATCGCTTGTTCTATATTGTTTCATATTTGCCATGAAATTTTTAAACTTATGATATAGGAATTAGGGTTTCAATTAAATTGTTAACTTACTCAGTATCTTCGCCGCACCTCTTACAGTGTGCGCAGCGCTTATGATGCTTCTCGCTTAGATACTTCTACTCCAATAAAAACAGATTTCCAGTCAACTAATTGGAGTTCCCGTTCCAAATCAACAAGTTTGTTTTCTCAATACCAATTACCAACTGAAAAGGAGTCTTATACATACGCAATAAGACACTTTCTTGCTTTACGTTAAAATAAATAGATCCTTCTTTGATGTACTTCTTATGCACACCATTTCTTTGAAGACTTTCAACAAAGTAGGTTAAAAAAAATCTTTATCTCGGTAGTCAGTAGCTTATTTATGTCACAGATTATTCATGATAGAAATTCCAGAAAGAAACATCAAATGTAATATTTATCTGTATTAATAACTACAAAAATTAAATGCTTCATTAAGCCTTATTCTACAGTTATTGCTGTTGACAATCGGTTGGTGCAACGGCAGCCCTCTTGTCTTCTGCTCTAGAACTCCCAGATTTATAGTCCGGTATCCATTTATTTCACTCCTGACATATCCATGTCAAATGTGCAAGCACATAAATATTCTGAATTCAACCAATTCCAAAACTAATAACATTACTTATCACAATATTAATACCCTAACGCAAAATAACTCAGTCAAAATCTAAGATAAAACTATAGAGGATCGTATGAAAATTTTTCGTTGTCCCAAACTAAAGTCATCACTCACTCGCAAGGACCGCGCGAACACATGTAATAATCACATCAAATGGGAAAGACAGTAGGGCCCTAACAAGTGTCATTAACCGAGTAATTTCCATACGCTCGACATTAACAGGGGCCGAGCAGATAATAGGCCCACAGCGTTGTTTTATATCCATGTTGGTTCCACGCCAAGTGTCTCCATTACTCGGAACTAATAAATTTTGCATAATAAATACGGGTCGGATGGTGAAAGAAATTGTGTCTGTGGCTTCTGAACCATAAGCTTAGTTACTTTTTTAAAAGAATATTAAGTTAGGATCTTTGGAATGGAATCTAATCATACAGTCTGGGTGGCTTTTTGTCTGTCTACGTACAGTCGTACAATTTTATCTATTTGATGAAAGCTATCATACTTCTTACTAATATTATGAATGTAAAGGTTTGTATGTTTGTTACTCAATGACGCAAAAACTACTGAACGGATTTGGACGTTTAGTACGCATAATAGTTTATAATCTGGATTGAGACATAGATATACTTTTTATCCCGGAAAAATTACAGGTTCCTGTGGGATTCTCACAAAACTAAAGATAACGCGAACGTAGTCCAGGGCGGCCGCTAGTAATAAAATATTTGATACCGAATAATCTCATATTAGGATAAATTTCTCACAATTGTACGAAAATAGGAGTGATAGTTCGTCAGCATAATTATATCGATCCTATCCGAAAGTTAGTAATAGTCGTGAAGTAGTAACAAATACACTTTTACCTAATACACATACATACAATTTATATGACTACCTTTCAACTGACGCCTAGAAGTTCTCTCTTATTGAATTCAGAGAGCTTGTAATATTTTCAGTAATTTTGAAATGTCTTTTTCGTGTTCAATGCAAATAAGTAATGATATCGCTGAGAATTTCGACGTCCTTTCACTTTAGTGGCACAAGGTCTTTTCTTTCGATTTAAATTAAGATTTTATTTAAGATTAATGGATTAGGTACTTGGTTAAACAACGCATTAAAACTTAAATACTTTTATTAAAAAAGTCACTAAAAGTCGAAATTCAATATAACAAGAGTTCCCAACACAATAGAATGTTTAATCAAGTTTATATATTTATATTAGATAAAGCATTGAACTGTTAGATTTATGAATCTAAAGAAAATTTTACTAGAAATAATTACACTCCATCCAGGCATCAGACGGGATTCGAACCATCCGTATATGGAATGCTCTGCCCGCTCACGTGTGCCCTCCCTCTTCAAACCTGGGATGCTTTAAAAGAGGCGTGAAGAAGAAACATGCAGGCCGGCAGTGTGAGAATGGCTGGTGTGGCAGATAGAACTGCTGTACCAGCTATCTTCGCGTCTGGACTTCACCGTCATTTAACATCAGGTGGGATGGAG